GCAGGTGCCCCATCGCATTCACCTCACCTTCCGCATGCCTTGCGTCAGGTGCGGAACTGCTTCATCCGAGAGAAGCGACAGCACTCGGTCGATTCGACGGGACACCCATCAGACGCGTGTATGGCCATCCGGACAAACTCCAGCGCCAGAGCCACCACGCTGGCACGGCTCGATGAGGGCGCTTGCCTGTTCTCACCACCTCGCTCCTCCGCCACCCCCTGCCGCTGATCCCTCACCTCGGACCATAGGAAGTCTCGTCAAGAACCTCGTCGCTCGTCTCAGGGACCACACAAACCTCCAATCACTCGTGTCCAAGCGTGTGCAGCCCCGCTGCGGCGCCTCCTCCTTTGCGGAGGAGGAACTCGTTGCCTTTGAGAAGGAGGAGGGCGCCATGGGCCGCAGCACGCGAGCTTGGGGCCGCGTCCTCGCAGCAGCAGGTGTGGCGTCGCCCGACGACGACATGATCCTTACCCAGCTGCGCGTTCTACAGACCAAGGGCGGCGGCTACAGAGAAAGCCTGCACAGCGAGGTCATCTGGGAACCCGAGTCGGCTCTGAGGGTGCTCTGTCGCGGGCCGGAGTACTTGCAGAGCTTGTGGCGCCCCCAGTCAGAGTTGCATTCAGTCTGCGCTGGGCAGAGGGGAGAGCCTCTGCCTGAGGTGCCGTCTCACTGCTTTCCTTGATGACGGGCACAAACTTATGGTTCTCGCCCCTCTGCGACCAACTTTGCGATTTGCCTCTAATGATTTGGCGCGCGTATCCTCCATCTCTTTACGGCTCTGGTGCGTCTCTCAAAACATTTTTCCCAACCCGTCCTCCCGGTCTCCCTCTGACTCTTGAAAACGAAAAACGAAAAACGGTCTGCCGTGGTCGTTTCCGGTGCTTGCGTACGTCGCTCCTGCTTCTGCGGCGATCTACCTTGTTCCTGCGAATTTCGCGAGGAAGTCTTGCACGTCTGCAATGCTGATGATCACCGTTGCAATGAACGTCAGCACAAGCAGGACGCTAAGCCCTCCGAAGGTCACTCCTCCGAGAGTCTTGCGGTGCAGCACAAGGAAGAAGATGAGCGGGAGGAGCACCGAGATGAGAAGAGAGTTGATGCCGATGAGGGCGGTGACGTACTCGAGGTAGGGCAGGATGCCGATCGCGACGACGATCGTGCCCGCCCAGGTGGCGACGCGCATTGGGAAGGCGACCGCCTCGGAGAAGGTGGTGCCCGTCCTCTCCTGGTACAGGTCCTGCACAATCTCCACCAGAATGAGCACACCTGCCGGAATGCGGAGGATCCGGTTGGGCCGGACAGTAACGACCGAGTGGGGATCAAGGCGCACCCATCGGCACGCCGCAAAACAGCTTGAAGGTGATCGAGCCGAGGACGAGCGTCGTGAGCACCTTTGAGAAGATGCTCGTGCCCGCTGCCGCCATATCCTCTGTGATCAGCACGTGGCCTTCGGCGCCGTAGAGCAAGTAGCCGCCGACCCCAGCGACGGCATACATCAAGAACATGACCAGAAAGGCGGCGTACATCGTCGGGCGGAACAGCGAGGGGTCCTTCATCTCTGAGTACATCGGCGGCAGCCCTACATGGCCAGTCAAGCCGGCGAGCATGATTGAACTGCTCATGAACAATCCCGACGGCTCGACCAGCGTGCGATCTGTCGCGTGCTCGTCTGCAGCGACGTCGTAGACGACGACAGCGAGAATGAGCATGATGGAGAGAAGAGCAAAGGAGGAGAGCATAGAAAGCAGCGAGAAGTCGCGCAGCCAGTTTGTGGGGAAGGAGGCGGCCACGCAGCCAATAATCACCCACGAGTAGGACACGCTAGGCAGCAGCAGGGCGACGTTCTGCCAAATGATGATTAGCATGCATATCTACGGGAAGGCACAGGGGGATATGAGGGCTGCGTCCAGCGCGGCGCGCCGGCTCCAATGGGCAATGCGGGCTAGTCACGTTGGCGACGAAGACTTCGATCAGGGAGGAGACGATCGTGAGCCACTTGCCGCATCCACCAAGCGCTTGCGTCGCAATCTCAGCATACGACGGCGGGCGGGTCGGGTTGCGCGCCTACAGGAGAGGCACACCCCGTGCAAAGCTACTGGATGGCTCGCCGACGGCAAGCCGACTCACACCTCGAGCGTCTGGTAGCAGAGTATGATGCAATCACCCGTGAAGGCTCCGAATGCTGTGAGCCCAAAGAGCACGGGCAGCGCGAGCCAGCCGCTGCGCGCAAAGGTGAAGTGCATCGAGAGGAGCACCATTCCGACGTAGTTGTTTATGAGGTTGAAGAACGTGGAGAGTGCGGTTGTCCCAGCCGGCGGCGAGTCGAGCAGCGCAGTGCCCAGCGCACTCTCGCGTTGGCTGGGACTGCCGAGGAGCGGGTTGCGGGCATACGAGAGCCGGTTCGACGCCGCGGTGCCGCGGCTCCCCGGCATGTACCCGGGAATGTCTCTCTCTCTCGGCGACGGCGATAAAGTCGGGGCACCCGTTCACAGCCTTGTCATGAGAAGAAAATGCGCGTCCAGTGTGCGTGCTCACCTGCTCACCTGCTCACCTGCTCACCTGCTAACCTGCTCACCTGCTCACCTGCTCACCTGCTCACCTGCTCACCTGCTCACCTGGTCTGTGAGAGGTGGAGGTGCGAGCCCTGGAGGCCCTGGGGATGGGGGGAGACTACCCGCGGGCCTAGAAGGCCTGCGCGCAGGGGGGTGCGGTCTTCTCTGGTAAACGCAGTGGGTGGGACATTGAGATTGAATTCTGTTCTGAGTTACCTTCACTGTTCACTCTGATGGGCGGGAACCAAAAAAGAAAAATCGGTAGCGCGGCGGCTCGGCAGCCGCTGAGCGCGGTCGCTCGGTGTTTCGAACGCCGCAGCCTCGCCACATCTCGCTCTCTCTCCTGAGGAATGGGCTGCGTCGCAAGCTCCGCTGTGGATGACGGAAGCGCAGTCTCGCTCAAAAGCTTTCGAACTGAGCGCGTTCTCGGTGAAGGCACGTTCGGCAAAGTGTCGCTCGCAGTGGATAGAAGGGACGGACGGAAGTACGCGCTGAAGACGCTCGACAAGGAGCGCCTGCGGCAGAAGAATGCCGTAAAGTCTGCGATCCGAGAGCGCTTTATCCTCATTTCGCTCTCCTCGGCCGACTGCAGCCGCTTTGTGACGAGCCTAGCGTACACCTTCAGCGACGCGTGCGCCGTCTACTTTGTGATGGACTGTGCGCTTGGCGGCACTCTGCTCTACCACCTCCACCACTCCTTTCCGGGCGGCTTCGAGGAGGGGCACGTACGGTTCTACGCCGCGCAGCTTGTCTGCGGCCTCGCCCACCTCCACGCCCAACTGATCCTCTATCGAGACCTCAAGCCGGAGAACACGCTGCTGACCTCCGCGGGGACGATCATGCTCTCCGACTCTGGCCGTCAGCGAGCCGTCTCGTTCTCTCGGAGCCTTCTCGGAGCCTTCCTGTAGGCTCTCCGACTTTGGCGTCAGCGAGGCGCTGCCGTCGGCCTCCGCGC